GCCACCTGGGGCCTGTTTTTCTAATGTGGCTTAACAATTTCAGTCTAACATGCTCATTTCAGGCTAAAAAAATGATGTTATTAGTGTTGAATGGGAAAATTTAAATAAAGTGTTGTTAGGTATTTTTAGTCAGATAGACATTGGATAGATACTTTATGTATTAGAAATGTTTAGTGGAGATAGGATGTCTAGTTAGACTGTTAAATGCTTAGTCATGCTTATGAGTTTCTACAGGGTACATCTGGTCAAGGATAACTAGAGAGAAGAGTTGATGACTGTGAGCAGACAGGGTGTTTATTATTATGACGTGTATAACTGTAGACTTAGCCATAATATCCATAATATGTTCTTATGTTTAAGTCACGACATGTCTTTGTTTAGAGTCCTTGTCCTGCTGCATCACAAACTTCTACTGAGCTGGTGGACTGGCACCTTAACCTTATCCTGTAAGATACAGTTCCTTAAATAGTTGCCCTCAATGATTGCGGCTCTCTAGGCTCCAAGGAAACAAAGCATCCCTAAATACTGATGCTCACTCCACTTTAATTCACCTTTGGGATGATGTTTTCATGTTGGTATGCATTAGCCTTTTTACACCATACACATTGTTGTATGTTCACCCTAAACAGTTTGACCTTAGTTTCATCAATCCACAAATCATTCCCCCAGTAGTGTTGTTGAGTGCCGAGGCGCTCTTTGGCAAAGTTTAGGCACACTGTAAGGCTTTTTGGAGAGCCGCAGCTTCCTGACATGGACTCCATGCAGCCATGCACCATGAGGTATATAATAGTCTCATAAACAGAGATGTTAACAAACTCCATTGATTGATTCTTCTAAGCCTCCGGCTGTTACTCTGGGCTTCTTTTTTTTTTTTTTTTTTACCTCACTGAGCCTCTGCATTGTGTCTTCACAGCCATCTTAGCCGGGTGCCCACTTAGCATGAGAGTAGCCACAGCACTAGTCTACATTACAAGACAGTGCATCTAACTGTGGATCAATGAATGTCTAAACTCTCTGTGATGACTTTCCAGCTTTATGCAAATCAACAATTCTTGTTCATCAGTCTTTTGGGATCTGTTTCTTATTGACCGGACTCCATGTTTACTAAATGCTGACTCCAGTAAGCTTTTGATGATGTCATTAGCCGAGGGCTTCGCATACTTTTTCCAACTGTCATTGTGAATATTTGAATGATGTTTTCAGTAACTTGGATGAAGATCTGGCCATATTTCAAGTCTAACATACATATATGGAAGTAATTCCAAAGGGTTCATTTACTTTTTCTTGCCACCATATATAGCTGACCTTTATTATTCAACTGCTGAACACTTTACAGTTTGGGGCTCTGTGAAAAAGCTGTGCTCTTTGTCTTTAAATGTTAATTTTATGGTTTTAACACATGACCAGTAAGGCAACATAGAACAGCAGAGCTTCATTCCTGGCTGCCTCTCAACTTCACAGGAGTTCCTTTTGGCTTGCCTGGTGCTGCAGGGAGGGGTGAGGATGGACGACTGAGTGCATTAGCTTGCCTGGTTTTTGTTCTATTTAAAACACTGGCTGTAATTAGGGAATGATGAGCATACTTCCCAATTACTGGCAGTATTTGGGCAAGGTTTCCTATCCTGTTTCTTGTTACCCACGCTTTCTTTCACTGAACCCCTGTTTATCTGATTAATGCTGGCGAGGCTCATTCCACAGTCGCTAAATTGCATCTAAGTTAAAACAGAGCTACAGAGATACAATATGTTTGGTTTTTCTATGTGAAAGCAGAACCACACCCTACATTTGTGTAGATTGAGTAAGGTGTGCACATGCCTATTTATATGGGTATGAGTAAAGGTAGTGCTCACTATTTACATTCAACAAAAAAGGTTATGGCACCGTTTGCAATTTCCTGGTTTTCTGTATAACTTGGTCATGAAATTTGATCATATCTTTATGAAAGTCATAAATATCAACAAACAAAATATATCTAGGATGATAAAACACAAACAGCCATGATTTTTCATGTTTTTATTGAACACACCCATTAAACATTTGTATGTGAAAGTGGAAAATGTAATGGCACCAGTGTTTTAATAACTGGTTGAACCACCTTTGGCAGCAACAACATCAAGCAAGTGCTTCCTGTAGCTGTGGATTAGATCTGCACAATGTTCAGGAGGAAGTTTGGACCATTCTTCCCACAGAACTGCTTCAGCTCAGCCATGTTCTTAGTACATCTGGTGTGAACGGCTCTCATGAGGTCATTCCACAGCAGCTCTACTGGGTTGAGGTCTGGGCTCTGGCTGGGCCACTCCAAAAGGTGGATTTTGTGTCTCCGAAGCCATTCTGTAGTAGATTTACTTTGATGTTTAGGGTCATGGTTCTGTTGCATCACCCAGCCTGCTCTGAGTTGTATCCTGTAGGATACCTGCATAAACCTTTATTTGCCCCTCCACAATGGCAAGCAGTCAAGGTCCAGAGGCAGCAAAGCAGCCCCACATCACGATGCTTCATCCACTGTACTTCACTGTTGGGATGATGCTTTCATGTTGGTACGTGGTTCTCTTTTTACACCATACGTAGTGCTGTGTGTTCTTCCCAAACAATTCTACCTTTGTTTCATCTGTCCACAGGACATTTTCTCAGTAGTGTTGTGGAGTGTCTTTGGCAAACTTCAGGCCTGCTGGGGAGCAATGGCTTCCTCCACGGATACCATGCCTGTTCAATATTTTGTGTGTATGCTTTTTTCATGAACAGATGTTAACCAATGAATCCTTCAAGTCTTTAGCTGCTACTCTAGGTGTCTCTTTTACCTCACTGAGCCCTCTGTGTTGTGCCTTTCGAGTGAATGGCTGGGCCCACTTCTTTGGAGAGTAGCCACATTACCACATCGTCTACATTTATAGACCATTTGTCTGTGAACTGTTGAGTATCTAAAGTCTTTGAGATGACTCTGTAACCCTTTCCAGCTACATGCAAATCAACAACTCTTGATCGCAGGTCTTCTGAGATCGTTTTTTTTTTGCGAGGCCTGGCTCACATCAACTGTTGCTGCTTGTGAATAGCACAATGACACTGTTTCAGTTTTATTAGTCAGTGTTGTTCTAAACCACACCTCCATTCTTGTTTCATTGAGTGGACTCCAGGTTTACTAACACCTGTTTCCAGTTGACGTTTAGTGACATCAGAAGACTTGAGTTACCACTTTTTTTCCATCATCAATCTGTATGTTTAATGAAAGATCATGACTGTTTTATTAGCTTAGAAATATTGTGCTTGTTGATATTAGTGACTTTGGTGAAGAGCAGATCACATTTCATGCAGAACATCAGGAAAGTGCAACAGTGCCATAGCTTTCTCTTGCAACAGTATTTGATCTTGACCTTTAGGTGGGTGGAGAGTTGTCTCACTTTGCCTTTGCTCCTCTCCAAACATGGTCAAATTACAGTCTAAATAGAGCGGAACAATTCAGCTCCTATTTTACTTTTAAAACGTGCACATGGCAGTACTGTTGTGGCTACGCGGAGTCATTGGTAGAAGCAGGAGGGTTTATTCAAACTCCCACTTGCCTTTTCAAAAACCCCAACATCCAAGTTACAGCATGTTCCTGTTGCCTAGCAACCAGCTGGGTCTTGAGAGAGAAGCGTCATAGATGTGTATGTATATCCACAGCTGAGCGCAAGAGCAAACACTCTATGCTGCCGTTCCCTCCCCGACCCGCTCACTCTCTCCACAATCTCACTGCCATGTAATGGAGAACAGTATTAAGTCCCGCCACCTCTGCTCAACATCACCCAATGACACTGCACATGGAGAGGACAATGCTTATAATCATTTATTATTGACACATTTGTCTAGTCGGTAAACAACACACAGACTACTTATGCTGTCTTTATAGATAATTTTCACAATAAAACAAAAGAAAAATGACATAAGACATGATAAAGTTCATGGTCTTTTATTTGAAAAAAAATATAAAGACTAGCATGTACAACTTGGAATGAATGTAAACTGAACTCAGATGAACAGTTGCGAAGACTGTGCCGACACTCCTAACAGCATGCGCTGCAAACACATTACACCCCTCACTATGCTCTTATCTGAGTCGAGAAACAGAAGAAGAAAAAGAAAAGTGAAGGCCAGTGATTCTCTCTTGCAAGAAAAGAGGACAGACACTCCATTTCAGCAAAATGAAAAAAAAAAAAAAAAAACAAACCAAAAAAACAAAAAACAAAGTAAGCTCACCGTAAGACTCTTAATTCACTCCTCCCTTCAAAGGGCCGGATGCACAACGAAGATGGCCGTCCAAATAATCATAACAAAATAAAAGAACATGCCAAACGTTTGAAAATGTATATTTTTTTGTACATTGTTTTTTTTTCTTTTTAATCTAGCATACAATTAAACCCCATTCCACTTTAACATTTGAGCTAGAACCTGGTATATTCTCTCATCATAACAGTACAGGGTTCCTCTTCAAATACAAAAAACTGTACCAAACCAACAAGAGGACAGCTTGTAGTGGAATCGGCGCGCTCTGATAGCCCGGAGGAGGGATAGGGGACGGAGGGGTTAGTGCTCCAGTCTCAAGCTGCATGCATGAAGAACAGAAAACAGAGAGAGAAAGAGAGATGGCCAGCCCAGACATTTACCACTAGCAAATGGAACTGGAAGGAGTTTACCAAATGCTTCTGCTTTAGTCTGAAGGTAGTAGTTACAGGGTTTGTTGTTATTATTTTACTCGTTATTTACTGATGCTAAACTGAACTCCAGGGGCAGGGGACAGGATCACTAACCATCATTTCATGCAGATATTTTTTGTATATTTTTCTATTTTTCCTGTGTGGACAGAAGGATATTTTATTTCAACATTCGATTATTGTCTATACAGAAACGGTATGAATAAATGAAAATTTTTCCCAAGAGGTAAGTAAAACATTTTGATTTTTTTTCTTTTTCTTTTTTTACTTCTAAGAAGGGACAGCACGGGGCGTGTAGGCTTCACTTTGCAGTCATCATCTGTACAAATTCTGCAGAGAGAGGACAAAAGACAATAAGAGCATCAGGTTTAAGGGTTTGCCACAGCCTGTTGCCAGCAAGAGCAGTCACCTGCTAAATTGCTAAATGCGTTGTTAATTTTTTAATCAACTTGAGCAGGTTCAGAACACACAGCCTAATTACTGCTCCTTTTCCAAATGGCTCTCATGTTCATGTCATTAAACCCATTTGATTCAAAAAGCTCTTGCATTGTGCTTACAGTTTAGCAGCAATGTTTTGGCAATATGGGCATGCACACACACACACACACACACAAAACAACAAAAAAGAGGAAGCTTCCTTTGTCCGTAGAGTACATATTCTGTCCGTGGTACAGTGGCAGTGTAGAAGAGAAGCACCTTTCAGGCAAAACTTAAGGCCTGTTCATAATATATCCACAGCCTTCTAGAAAATGAGTGCAGTCTCTCATGT